CCCCCCCCACCCCTGTAGGCCCCCCCCCCCCCCCCCCCCAGCATGGCACAGCACCGCCTGACCATGCACAGCACCCCCCGGACCTGCTCAGCACCCCCAGCCCTCCTCGACCCTGCGCTGTCCCCCCCACCCCACATAGCCCTACAGCCCTGCACAGCCCCCTGACCACGCACAGCCCCCAACCATGCACAGCCCCGCCAAACAGGAACAAGCACCGGGAAGAGAAACTGGGAAGGGGCACTGGGAATGGGCACCAGGAATGTGAACGGGCACCTGGGCAGTGCTGGCGCTGGGAACAGGAACAAGAACTGGGAAGGGGAACCAGGAATGGGAACTGGCACCAATAACAGGGCACTGGGTGGGGAAGCTCTGCTGGTACTGGGAACCAGGCACTGGGAACTGGGAGGGTCTCTGCTGGTAATGCCACTGGGCACCGGGGGCTGGGAACCAGACACACGGGGATGGGTGCACGGGGATGGGGTACATGGGAAGGGGGTATCTGGGGATGGGTGCCTGAGGATGGGGGTCTCTGGAAAAGGGTGCATGGGGATGGGTGCACGGGACAGGGTGTGCAGGGAGGGGTGCCCAGCTCTCTGCGCCCAGGACAGGGTGCTTGGGGATGGAGTGCTTAGGGACAGGGTGCATGGGATGAGGTGCATAGGACTGGGCCCCTGGGAATGGATGCCCAAGACAGCAACAGCCGGGGCCCTGGATGCCCAGCACTGTGGGGGCTGCTCCAGCTCTGTGCTCCCCCCAAGGTGTGCTGGGCGCCTCGTCCCTCCACCCATGTCTGGAGGAGGTGAAGGGGTTGGGGCTGCTGGGGTTCACCTCCTGGCCACCTACACAGCCTTTCCCAGAAGTGTCCCCAACTCCCGCCTGACCTGGAGTTACAGCTAAGGCCTTGGTGGCTTTTGCAAAGCAGTGTTGTGCAGCCCTGTGCCTCAGTGTCCCCACCTGTGCAGGGCAGCCTGAGTCCAGCCTGGCCCCGCACTGCTGGCCCCCTCTCCTCCCCGCCTGGGTGAAGAGCACTTGGGAAAAAACTGGGTTACGGCAGCGATGCACCCAGCTCCCCACTTTAAGTGCCCTTGAAATGCTCATGTGTCCCCATCACTCCAGGAGCTGAACTCGAGTGCAGCCCCAGCAGGACTTTTCGGAGGAGAAGGAAGAGGATGCTGAAGTCAGCTGAGACAAAAACTTGGCTGGGGGCTGAAACTCCCCACAAATCTGCAGGAGTCTCCTTGCTTGCTTCCTCAGTCTTTTCTTTCACGGTGGCAGCGTGGCGGACGGGGCCCTTATCACAGACACTGCCCCGCTCTTGGGCTGACTCTGGGCAGTGGTAAGGGGTGACAGAACCAGCGTCAGACTCTGGTGCTTCTGCAGACCTCCCCTTCCCTGAGAGGAATTTCAAAAAAACTGAAAATCAGTTTGACAAAACTGAAAATCAGGCGAAAATTGTGATATATGGTCTGCTGGCGTTCATGCCAGTGTCACTTCGAAGCTGCTGGAAGTTTTTGTGCTGCAGTGCACAGGCTCTTCGCTGCGGCTGAAGTAACGCAGCCAGATCCGCAGAGCATAGGGGTGCAGGCGCGGCGCAGGCCGCTCCTAACGAACGCCGCTCCTAACGAACGCCGAGGGCATGCATAAGTCACATAACTTCAGAAGAACAAGTTCACGTCACATCAAGATGGGAGGGCACGGGATACGCTTCTGCGAGTTGCCTTGATGTCCACCCCTTTCCCCTCTGGCGCCTGGATGG